GGAAAAAGCCACTCAAGGGGCCTCGGGGGACCCAGAACACTCAGTTCACTTTTTTTTTTAGACATGAATAACTAGATTATTTTTGGGGTTTGGCTTTTTTTACTGACTTTCTCATTCAGGTCATGAATTGTTTCCCTGATTTCTTGGTATTGGCTGTGTTCTCTCATATTTTGTTGTTTCCTTGAGATCATTGTTCTGAATTCCTTTTTGGGCCTTTCATAGATTTTCTTTTAAGATCCGGTACTGGAGAATTACAGTGTTCCTTTGGAGTATCATATTTCCTTGCTTTTTTCATGTTTCTTGTGTCTTTTTGTCCATATCTGTGCATTTGTTGTAACAGTTGCTTCTTCCAATTTTATGAACTGGCTTTCACAAAGACACTTTTTCTTGTAGATGTATTTATAGTTTTGGTTGAGTAGGGTATTTTGGCTTTGATAGAGGCAACAATGTAGTCTTTACATGATCTCTTTGCTATAATTTATGTCGGCAGTGTCTGAATTTTTCAGTGGTTTAAACTGTGTTTGTTAGTGGTGGAAACTGGTGAGGCTTTGCTCGGGATATTAGCAACAGGCGGGCTGCTCACTGGGCCCCAGGGTGCCACATATGGGCACTGGTGGTGGCAGCAGCAGGCCCCCAGGCAGCGTCTGTGGATGCTGGCAGTGGCGGGGGTGGGGGGACACAGGCAGTCTGGTCCTCAGGCCCCTAGGTGATGGGTGTGGGCGCTAGCAGTGGCAGCAGCAGGTCAGGCAGGCCATTCCTCAGGTCCCTGGACAGCACTTGCAATGCCAGCAGCAGAAGTAGCAGGCTGGTCCCTGGTTGGTGCATTTGGGTGGGCACCAGTTCAATATGTACTCTTTTGTGCCCAGTTTTTTTTTTTTTTTTTTTTACTCCACATTGAGATACTCTCTATTGTTTGCACATCAAGTTCATTCATTTTCATTACTGGATATTAAACTGTATTTTCTATACTGTATTTATCTGCTGTATTTTGTCACCATATTATTTTATTTGGGTAAATGGACCAATTAAAAAAATTATTCTGCTGTTAATGGGCATAGTTGATGGCTTTTGGCTATTACAAATAGGGCTGGAGAGGGGAATTTCAGATGCTGAGAGCTTGAGATGGGATGAGTAGAGTCTCAGCTGATTACAACGTCTAGAAGAGAAAAGAAGGACGGTCAATTATCTGTGTTGTTGAAATGCTTCTTTCTGTGCCATGATACAGAGACTCAACACTCAGGATTCTACCACCCCTTGACACACACACAGACACACACACAGACACACACACACCCCTTGACACACACACAGACACACACACACACACACACACACACACACACACACACACACACACACACACAGCGTGCTGATGTGGGTCTTACAGGTCCAGCTTCTTCTTTCAGAATCTGAGCTTCAGACCATGCTCCTGAGGTCCAAAAGCCCAGCGTGAGCTTTCTTGCTTCCCGTCAGGCCAGAAACACCTGCACAAAGTCTGCCCTAAAGATTCTCAAAACCTCTTCAGGATGTAAGTGCTTTCTGAAGCACTTTTTTTTTTATGAACCTCCTTGTATTAATAAATGTATTTTGGTAAACATATGTCTGCATTTACTGGAGATGCTTTCCCAGAATCCAGACTTGGGAATTCTTCATTCCCAAAGGCTATATGTGTTTGTTGAACTTGTACACTCTGTTGAACTGGCCATCGGGATCTACTGTAGTCTTGGACTCCCAGGCAGAGTCTGTAGGTTTTGTTTCATTTTGTTTCATTGTTAGGGGAAGATGGAAGTTCTTTTTAGCCAGGGATCCTCAAAATTTAGTGTGAATGAAAATCACCTACAGGGCTTGAGAAAAATGAGTTTGGACCCCAAACTCAGTTTCTGCCGCAGTATCTCTGGGCTGGAATCTATGAATATGCATTTTAACAGGCTCCCAGGTGATGCTGATGCTGCTGGTCTGGGGACCACATTTTGAGAGCCACTGTGGCTAGCAATCTCGGGGCAGTCTCCTCAAAGACCTCTTGGTGACTTCTGTGATCAACTGTGAAGCTTTAGGCCAACTCTATATTTGTTGCAAACATTACCAACATCAGGTTTTAATGATTTTTTTTAAATAATATTTTAAAACAACAAAACAAAGCAATGTTAAATGGAGGATGGATTGTACCCACCAAATGACTCCAAAGGCAACTCAACTGATTCAAAAAAGTGAAAAGGAACAAAATAAAAACCTCACCATTCTCCAAGAATCAGCAGAAGAGTCTCTGAGATTTTGATTCACATGAAAACAAAGAGAAAAATGAGAGGGCATACCTAGAGCCCAGATGTCTGAGAGACAGGGTTGGGGTGGCCCTCACCTGGCAGAGCCAAGGGGTCTGAAGTGGGGTAAAGAAAGAAAATGTGGCACATATACACCATGGAATACTATGCAGCCACAAAAAAGATGAATATATGTCCTTTGCAGGGACATGGATGAAGCTGGAAACCATCATTCTCAGCAAACTGACACAAGAACAGAAAACCAAACACCACATGTTCTCAATCATAAGTGGGTGTTGAACAATGAAAACACATGGACACAGGGAGGGGAACTTCACATACTGGGGTTTGTTGGGGGTAGGGGGCTAGGGGAGAGATAGCAGGGGGTGGGGAGGTTGGGGAGGGATAACATTAGGAGAAATACCTAATGTAGATGATGGGGGGATGGACGCAGTAAACCACCGTGGCACGTATATACCTATGTAACAAACTTGCACATTCTGCATGTGCCCCAGAACTTAAAGTACAAAACAAAATAAAATAAAATGAAGACATAAGTGTTTTCTATACTTCTCTCCCCAGGCCCTGCTGAGGATCCAGATCTATGTTCTCCCATGACTTGCTGGAGGAGAAAGAAGAGGATTTTCTTTCAAGGCCAAGCGCCTTGCCCCCAGGATCTCCAGCTTTTGACCACTGTACTGGTTAGGAAAATGCACACCTTCCTGGTAGATTCTGAACAGTGGAGAAAAGGCTTCATGAGAAGCATGGAGGCTGGAATTGACACCCCTCACCCTCACTCTATCGTCTTTATGTGTGCATTTCCCTGGTGACCCCGTCCTCCCCCAGTACCTCCCTCACTGTCATTTCTGTTGCATCACAGGCACAGGCCTCCAAACAGGTATGGTTGTGACTGAGTCTGTTTCTGACACCCCACCCCCTCTCGCTCTGTGGGACGACATTGCTGGGAAGGGCTTTTAATCAGGAATGAAGCCAGAGGGCATGGCTGACAGGGACCATTTAAATTCTGCAACTCAGAGATTTACACAGAAGCCTGGAAACAATTCAGAAGAGCTGGCCAGATGGAGCTGTCGCAGACATCTGTGAGTTGAAAGGCAGAGCCTTCCATATCTTAAGTTACACAAAGAAGAGAAAGAGGGAGATTTCATGAGATGAAAATATGAGCTTTTCCAGTGAATGCTTTACTGAGAGTTGTGGGTGTATGGAAGAGAGACCTTGGGGAAATGGCATCTGAGATGCCTGTAGGGTGTGATGTGTGGATCCTGGATTAGTGTAACCTTCCGTGAGTGTGTGACAGTGTCTGGTAAGAGTGAACTCTGCTGAAATGATGTGACTTCAGGTAGGAGGTGGACGGGTGTGTGAGTTTAAGGGGGTGACTGTGCTTCGTTTTCATGACTGTGATGTGAGTGTCTATGTGAGCCCAGCTAGACCAGTGCATGGGCATCTTTATATGTACAGAGAGCAGGCGTGCATGACTCAGTGAGTGGCATGGCTCTGTGTGACTGGGGTGTGTGTGTGTGCTGAGATGTGACCAAGTATTGAACTGGGAACATGCACTGGCCTTCTGTTCATGAGAAGGTTCCTCCTCACACAGAAACATCTCTGATGACGCAGCTGTGCAACTTCCCATGTGTGTCAATGTGCATCCAGGGTGGCAGAACTGCTGGGGATCTTGGGGACCATAAGTTATTAAGGACTCGTTTCTGAGCATTCATGAGAACAGAATGCATGAATCCTCAGGGGCCTCTTCCCAAGCAACGTGGGAAAGAGAAAGCAGGCTATGGGGCCCATGGCTCCTCAGGCAGGGTCCACACAGAAGGCACTGGCTCCTGCCTCCCAGGCTCAACTTCCCTGACTCTCACTCCAGCAGTCCTTCCTATTGTGTGACTGGGTGATGAGCAGATCCTGATTTGCTAGGGAAGGACATTGGGAGACTTGGGTTCAGAGACAGATTCACCCAAAACAAGAAAGTAACACGTTTAATTTCCATTCAGGCAGAGCTTCCAATGGACATTCATCAAGTTTGCTGAGGCCTATAGCTGCAACACTTTGGGAGGCCAAGTGGGGAGGATCGCTTGAGGCCAGGAGTTGGAGACCCGCCGAGGAAATGCAGCGAGACTCTAACTTTCCAAAATTTAAAATCTGCCAGGCATGGTGGTGTGTGTCTGTAGTCTTAGGTGCTTGGGGGTTGATGAGAGTGTGTAGAGATGTCTCCCTTTCTTCAGTGTGTGTCTGCGATTGAGGGTGATAATCAGACTTCCTGTTGTCCAAGAATCCCTGTTTCTAAGTGATCACGGGATTCCCAGAGCCAGTTGACAGCATGATCCCTCCTCACTTCAACCCTTACGCTTTACTCATTAAAACTTCTCCAAATGTCACAAAATTTCGTCCTTGCTTTCAGCGGTAAAACAGGTAGTGGTCATCCCCAAAAGGGCTTGGAGGATTTCATGGGTGGTGGGAGGAATCAAAGAGGATAAATTTTCCTGGGGCACAAAGAATGAGTGCCAAGGCCACTGGAAGATCTGAGAACACATTAGGAATAACACTCGTCGATAGCATGGAGTTTATGGCAGGCACTCTGAACCAAAATCCCTACCCAATTTCAGATGAGTAACTGCACTGTAGGCTCCTACAGTGGACATGGCAGTCAGTACTTTGTAGAGTAGAAATCTTGGTCAGAGACGCATGCAAGAAACCCTTTCATCAGGGCATTTACAGTATTAACTGGCTCTCACTGATGGTCTTTCCTGTAACTGATTCATTTCCACCCACAGACACAAAGTTAGGAAACCTCCATTTCCATCCTCTGAAGTGCCCCCACTGCCTTCCCTCCCCTTGCAGGAGCCTAGCCTTTGATCTTAGAAGAAGACCCCTACCGAGGCCCCAGTCCTCTCCTAAGAATAAACTTTCTTTCTGGAGTGTTTCCTTTGGGGAGAATTCTGGACCAACCCCCTCCATCTGAGATGCTCCACTAGCTGGTTGTTTTGCCCATTAGTTGACACAGTTTCTTCATTGTGTCAATGGTCTTTACCATTTGGTATTCAATTAGGAAAAGGGAAAGTCAAATTGCCTCTATTTGCAGATGACATGATTGTATAGATAGAAGACCCCATCATCTTAGCCCCAAATCTCCTTAAGATGATAAGCAACTTCAGCAAAGTCCCAGGATACAGAATCAATGTGCAAAAATCACAAGCATTCCTATATACCAATAACAGACAAACAGAGAGCCAAATCAACAGCGAACTCCCATTCACAATTGCTACAAAAAGAATAAACGACCCAGGAATACAACTAGCAAAGGATGTGAAGGACCTCTTCAAGAAGAACTATAAACCACTGCTCAAGGAAATAAGAAAGGACACAAGCAGATGGAAAAATATTCCATGCTCATGATTAGAAAGAATCAATATTGTGAAATGGCCATACTGCCCAAAGTAATTTATAGATTCAATGCTATCCCCGTCAAACTGCCATTGACCTTCTTCACAGAACTGGAAAAAACCACTTTATACTTCATATGGAACCAAAAATGAGCCGGTATAGCCAAGACAATCCTAAGTAAAATGAACAAAGTAAAAAGAACAAAGCATCACACTACCTGACTTCAAACTATATTATAAGGCTACAGTAATCAAAACAGCATGATACTGGTACCAAAACAGAGATATAGACCAATGGAACAGGACAGAGGCCTCTGAAGTAATGCCACACACCTACAGCCATCTGATCTTTGACAAACCTGACAAAAACAAGCAATGGGGAAAGGATTCCCTGTTTAATAAACGGTGTTGGGAAAACTGGCTAACTATGTGCAGACAGCTGAAAGTGGACCCATTCCTTACACCTTATACAAAAATTAACTCCAGATGGATTAAAT